TAGGTGCCACACTACTTGTTAATAAGTAATATTACAATAATACTGTCTGTTCTAATTAATATATATTTTCTCTTTTATCCTTTATATCTATACATGTATATATGCATATATTTGTGTATATATAATATAGTGATTTAAAAGCTCTAAGCACGAAGATATTTCTATAATATAAAAGGACTTCACTATATATTATCACAAAGCCTCAAGTTTCAGATGATTATATTCCATTAAATTAAAAAAAAAAACCAGAATGATGACATGTGCAATTGTACCCCAAAAGGCATCTGAAATTCAAATACTATGAGATATTGAAGGATGAATTTAGAAATGTTTTGATCGCAAATGCTTCATAAGGAAAAGTAAAACCACTATTAATGTAAATACCACAAGTCCCATTTGATGGAGAAAATACTGAGATAACTCATAGAATATATGATAGACTCAGCCTTCACAAATAGAAATCGACTAAATTGCAGTAAAAAATGTCAGTATTTTATCCTTAACTAGGGTTGTACCTGTGAAATCCTTCCAGGCAAACAGGACAGTTTTTTTGAAATAAAGAAGAAAATACAGATGTACAAAAGATTTGTATTAACTAACATATCCTTGCTAGTTTCGTCTGATCTTTAGGATTTAGTAACAAAGGTAATTCTCTGATCATCATCTTTTAAATTTTTCTCTTATAATATATAAAGCAAAATTAATAGAAAATTAAAAGGATATAACACTCCATGTTCAAGCAAAAACTATTCTGGTTCTCTTTTTTCATACTTCTAAAATGCTTGCTCTGTTATTATTAGGAACTGTTGTGAAAACCTTGGAGCTTTAAGAATATGCCAATGGGTTTAGAAATGGAAGAAAAGAGCTGTGAAAACTAAGAATGACATTCTTAAGTATGATTTATGTACATTTAAGCTGGATTCCTTAGCCAAACATCTTTCCCATAATATTGTCTGAAATGTTTTCGTGTTGCATTATACTACTGGAAATTCTACCAAACTGGATTAAGTCTTTTGGGTTAATAGGCATTCTCTTTTATCCTTTTCTTAGGGAAGTCAAGGGAAGGAAAGATACTTTTATCTATTTTGCCTTTATTTTTCCAAATCTAGAATTCCAGTTAGTATGATTAGATTATATATTTAGGTTAATATAGACTTTTGTGAAAGTATCATTTGGATTTAAATATCATCTGTGATATGCTTGGAACTGGACAAAACTCTTACAAAATTAAATATGCTTAATTGCATTTTTTTCTTTAAGTGTAGAATTTTATTTGAAAATGAAAGCAGAGATGACAGTACATACATAAGGGCTACATAATGAATATCCTTAAACCCTATCATTTTTAGTCAAGGAGGCTAACTGAATTTAGTAAGAAAAGACTCAAGAGTCTCTAGAAATTTGGAAACATTCTACCCAAAACAGAAAATAGAGGTCCTCCATAATAAGGCTAGTAGCCGGAAAGAGGAGAAGCCTAGAATGAAGGGAGGTCTTTCTCACTGTCAGCACATCAGTTTTTAAAAAAATTGATCCAAACAAGGGAATAGTATTTGGAGAACAAGTTGGAGAAGAGATATTCCAGTGGGTAGACAGGAAAGGCTTCCCAGATTGAAAGAGGACAACTAAGGCCCAGTGCAGTGGCTCAACACCTGTAAATCCCAGCACTTTGGGAGGCTGAGGTGGGAGGATCTCTTGAGGCCAGGAGTTCAAGCCTGGGAAACCTAATGAGACCTCATTTCTACAAAAAAAAATTTAAGAAATTGACAGGTATAGTAATGTTGGTACATGTCTGTAGTCCTAGCTACTCTGGAGGCTGAGGTGGGAAGATTGCTTAGTCTAGGAGTTTGAGGTTGTAGTGAGCTATGATTGCATCAGCCTGGACAAGAGAGAGATACTGTCCCCCACATCCATGCTTACCAGTCCTCTGCAAAAAAAAAAAAAAAAAAGAAAGAAAAGAAAAAGAGAAAGGGCAACTAATAGGCCTATGGAACCCATGAGATAGAACAAGTAGAGTTTAATTTCTAGCTTGAAATTTTCTGAGGGGAAAACTTTTTGAAGGATTAAAAGCCATCAAAGACAAAGGTATAGAGAGAATGCCACAAAACTGGTCAGTGGTTAGTAAAGGGAGAAAATAAATATTAAGAAGTTAGGGACAGTTGCTTTCAAGGCTTTATACCTCTGGAAAGAAACTTGACTCATAAAACAAAATAACAACACAAAAACTACCATCTTTTAAAACAATAATTTTTCCCAGGAAATAAAAACTCTTAGAGAAATGGAGAAAGAAAAAAGTACAAGTCTAATCAAATAACTTTCTTCTTAGACATTTTCTCTTTAGGCTTAAGGGTATACCAGAATCTTATAGGTATATTCCAAGAAGTGTGAGGATCTAGGTCCCCCAGAGTTTCTCTGATGAACAGCCACCAACTGTTGCCCATCTCCTGAAGTGAGAAAACTCTTAACAGGGGAGGAAATGAGGGGCCTTGGGCTCTAAGAATAGAGAGGCCACTTCTCACACTCCTGTGTTTCAAAGGGAAGAGTAAGTCCAACAAACAGCAGCTACCATAGCTGCTAATCAGAGAGTGGTATTCAACATAGAAGGACAAAGCTGATGCCATATTTTTAAGGACTTATGCACAGGGATTAAAAACACTCAATAGAGTTGAAAGAAACAGCACCAATTATAAATATTATTTATATTCATCCTTTGGGTAAAAATTGCCCCTTTGCCACTTTTAAGTCTATAGGGATTTCAGAAGAAATTGGAGTCAAACTATAGGTCTAGAGGCCAACAATTTATTACAACAAAGAGCTTGTTGAAGCATGATATTGAAGTTATATTAGATACTCTCCTAAAAGTCCTTTGATTCTGTATTTTAATTTAATTGAAGCACAGTTTCTGGGAAATATACAAAGAATTTTTGTGTGTAACTCCCAATTCATTATTTTATAGTTAAGTGTAGTATAAATCCAGGAAACACACTCCTACATATGGGGATTATCATGTATAAATTTGTTTGAAAACTGTACTGTTCTTGTGAAATTTATAAAGCAATCTGTTATAAACTAAATCATACCTCTTTCCAAGCCATCCTTCTGAAATCAGCTGACAAAGTTAAAGTCTAATTTCCCAAGATTCTTTATCTTTTGACATGTTACCATCTTTCTATCTCTGATTGTATTGGAGATTTTGGGAAAACAGTTTGCAAAGTTATTACCTTGTGATTTTGGTACATGTACTAATATCTATATTATCCATTTTATTCCAACATCAAGTGAATTTCAGATAATTTCTTCAGATTGTCCTTCAGAATGGGTCCTAAGTAAAACCTTACTTTTCAAAATTATCTATTAGAGATATACTACAAAATGGAAAGAAATAAAATGGGTTTTACTTAGTACATGTATGGAGAATTTTTGTTCTCTCAATCTATCTGTTTTTAGAAGTAACATGTTTGGGGCTGGGTATAGTGGCTGATGCCTATAATCTCAGCACTTTGGATGGCCAAAGCAGAAAGGATCACTTGAGCCCAGGAGTTTGAGACCAGCTTGGGGAACCTGGTAAGACCCCGTCTCTACAAAAAATAAAAGATTGCCGGGTGCGGTGGCTCAAGCCTGTAATCCCAGCACCTGGGGAGGCTGAGGTGAGAGGATGGCTTGAGGCCAGGAGTTTGAGGTCACAGTGAGCTGTGATCGAATAACTGCATTCCAACCTCGGCCACAGAACAAGAATGTCTCTTTAAAAAAAAAAAAAAAAGAGTAACATATTTGAGCTATTAAGCTAGGCCATAAAGAAGGCTGAATTATATCCTCCATTTATTCAGATTGTTAAGAAACTCCAAAATTTTTATTAGCTTCTAAAAATAAAGTTAAATTCTAAGAAAGTATATATGTATAAATTGTATATATGTGTGTATATATGTATAAATTGTATATATCTGTGTATATATGTATATAAACATGTATATATGTGTATGCATATTATCTATATAGCTCTGTAGAAGAAACACACTTGGGTATCAATTATTATCAAAATTCCTTATCCAATAATACATCATTAATTTTTATTAGCAGTCCAGGATTTGTTTAGCATCTTAACATTTGAAAATAAAAACATAAACTTTTTGGTTCTCAAGGATAGTTTTTTAAAAGAAAATCTCAAACATCAGTGGTTAGTAATTTTTTCCTTACAGAACAAAAACTTTTGAAATTTCATTGTGGGACTTAATCTATTTACATTCCTAAAACTGAGAATAATCAATGTACTTGAGATCCTTGTATGCTAGTATACATTCATAAAGTTCTGCTGTTCTCATAAAACAATTTGACTAGCAAACATATTCATTACAGTTTCAAAAGAAAACACCCTATTTGACTCACCAGAAAAAGCTTTGTGATCTATATCCTATTATTTCTGCTGCTGCTGCTGAGCATGGAATACATTTGGGGTTGAAACAGGAGATAAAAGAGATACATTTATTAGGGGAATACCAACTTTTATGGCTCCCCCTGCCCCCACCACCTAAAATTAGCAAGTCAGTGAAAGAACTGCAAAAGAATATAAAGAGGAATATTTCCTGTACTACTGTAGAAATTTTAGAGATTAAAAACCCCTGTGTAGGATTTGTTCTGTACCTTTTGAAGAATGAATGACTTCCCCTCCCATCTATTTTCCAATTTTATAGTAAAAACTGGCTTTATAATCAGAATCTAAAATTTTCTTTTGGTGTAAAAAATAGTTTTGCATTTTATGGAAACAATTGTCCTTTTTAAAATTAATCACATGTATAATTGAATATATTGGTTGCATATAAGAAGAAAAGGTTTAAGGATTAAAGCGTTCAAAGAACATTAATTTGGTGGAATTTCAATCAATGTTATGCGATCATGTCAGAGGTGAACTCTTCTTTTATCAAAATTCCCAAGGTGGATCCATATTTTATAAAATTTGATACCAAATAAATTATGTTATAGGAGGATTTCAATATTGTCTTAAACATTGGAGAAATAATTTAATATAGTCAAATTACATGAAAAGGCAAGAATATTGATCATGTTGATGGTATTTCTAATATTTGGAAAATGTTATAAAAAAGAAATATAAATACCATTCAGATTCTGAAAACCATAGCAGATGCAAAATTAAGGAGTAGCAGTTACAGATGAATGAAAAATTAGACAAAAGCATATTAAATGACAAAATGGCAAAGCAAAAAATAGAATTAAATCATTAATATTAAAATAGTATACTGTTGTAAAATATTAAAAGTGTAAAATATTAAAAGTATTAAAAGTGTTATAATTAAAAGTGATTCTTATCCTAAATGTGAAAATAAATATAAAATAATGTGAAACATAACATCTAATAGTTTGATAAGGAAAAATAACCCAAAGCAGAGAAAATAAAAGACACCTCACTATTCCCAGTGTGGTTATTATTTATGGAATGGATAAAACATGTTGTAGAAAAGGTCATTACAGTTAGATTAGCACATAAAAAACCAACATGCCACATCTACCTAAATAATTTTGTAGAACAGCTGAAAAAGCAAATTTTATCAAATTTAGACAGCTTATATTGGAATAACTGAGTATGGTGAGGTATTAACTAACCCTAAGTTTCACAATGGGCAGTTTCTAGCTGTTTTGTTGAAGCTGGATCTCGGCCACACAAGGATCACTGGACAAGAAATCAGTTGAGCTGGACTAGAGCTGCCCAATTGTCTTAATAATGAATGCTCCACACTGTCTGTTAAGTAAAGAGAAAATATAGATCAGGAACACTGAATGGAAAAAAAAAAAGATTAGTTAGAACAGATGAGTGCAGACGATCAATCAACATTCACTAAATATCTGCAGAACTTTGGTACCAATTAAATTAAAATGTTAAAAAGTGAGAGGCTAGCAATTAGGAGGGCCCCTGAACTCAGGAAAAGCTTGTTTCTGCTGAGAGCTTAGAATTGATATTAAACAATCTCTAGTCTAGTATTACAGTATAAATGTTTGGTAAATAAAACAAAGGATGGGTCAGCACAGATTACGAGTTACATTTCCTTCTCTTAGGTGAGTCTTAAAAACTTGTTTTTAAAAGAGGAATTGTGTTTTTGGCAGGAGGCTCTTTAGAAAGTTGTCCAAAACCCAAAAGTATCCTTTAAGTGGGCATAAGTAGGACAGGCATATAGGTACTTACACTGTATAATTCAGAAGAATTTCACATACCTGTGTCATCCTGGCATTTTTATTGTTGTTGTTGTTAATACTAGTTTGGGTCAAAGAATCAACCTAGTTACTACTACCTTTTTGGCAATTTGGGCCTAAGCCAGCTCCTAATTTAGGGAAGCAAGCTGTCCTAAGACATATTTTAAATTGTGGATAGGCTCAAAATTTTCCATATTTGTTCTACTAACTCTAGAGCAGTTCTAATAGAACAGTCTATGTTGCTGGGAATGTTTTACGTCTACACTATCAAGTACAGTGGCCACTAGTCACATGCGGCTATTTAGCACTTGAAATGTGGTTAGTTGCAACTCAAGAACTGAATTTTTAATTTAATTTAAATTAATTTAAAATAAAAATTAAATAGCCTCATGTAGCTAGTGGGTACCATATTGGAGATAGCATGGCTCTAATGGCTCAACTTTGTTGGGTTTGCTAAAACCAAACTCTACAGACTGGCCTAAATTTCCCTGGCCTGTTTAATACTGTCCAGTACCATTTACTAATGTTCATAGCTGTATTCCCAATACCTAGAATAATGACAAGCACAAGGTAGGTGCTCAATAAATATTTGCTGAATGAATAAAATCTATTATGATAATACACAACTATTCATACCCAGTTAACTACTTATAGGCTATTGGCTGTAACCCAATAAACACTGGTCCTCCCAGGTGAAACAGAGATAAATGAAGTTAAATTGTTTTATGTATATGAAATTACTTGGTTAAAGGCTCAATGTGCTAGAGAGAACAGGGACCAGTACTAACTTCAGTATATTCATATATGAATAATTTAGGTTGATAAATATGGTAAAACTGGAGAGAATATATATCACTCTGTTGCCCAGGCTGGAGTGCAGTGGTGTGATCTCAGCTCACTGCAACCTCTGCCTCCCAGCTTCAAGCAATACTCGTGCCTCAGCGTCATAAGTAGCCGGGACTACAGGTGCACGTCACCATGTCCGGATAATTTTTGAATTTTTAGTAGAGATGGGGTTTCATATGCTGCTTAGGCTGGTCTTGAACTCTTGACTTCCGGCAATCCACCCACCTTGGCCTCCCAAAGTGCTGGGATTATAGGCATGAGCCACCGTGCCTGGCCAGAGAATATAATATTTAATGGTAAGGGTGTGGCTAACAGTTGATGAGAGTGATAAGAGGGGAAAACTTAATGTCAGATAAAAGCTAAATTCAGATTTTATGCATGACTAAAAGGTGGGAAGTGAAGATGTAGAAGTTTTGAAGAAATGTATACTAATCCTAGGCCGGGCATGGTAGCTTATGTCTGTAATCCCAGCACTTTGGGAGGCCGAGGCGGGTGGATCACCTGATGGATCCAGGCCAAGGTGGGTGGATCATGAGGTCAGGAGTTCGAGATCAGCCCAGCCAATATGGTGATAGCCCATCTCTACTAAAAATACAAAAATTAGCTGAGTGTGATGGCACACGCCTATAGTCCCAGCTACTTAGGAAGCTGAGGCAGGAGAATCGCTTGAGCCTGGGAGGCAGAGGTTGCAGTGAGCTGAGATCATGTCACTGCACTCCAGCTCAGGTGACAGAGCAAGACTCTGTCTCCAAAATATATATATATATAGAGTAATCCTATTAGGCAGTAATGTAGCTTTGAAAAAGGATTTGGCAGTGGAGAGATAAATAAATAAAGCTGACCCTTGAACAACATGAGTTTGAACTGCATGGGTGTACTTATTAAATATATGTGAAGTTTTTTTTTTGTTTGTTTTGTTTTTTTCCTGAGACAGGATCTCACTCTTTCACCCAGGCTGGAGTGCAATGGTGAGATCTTGGCTCATTGCAACCTCTGCCTCCTGGGCTCAAGTGATTCTTGTGCCTTAGCCACCTGAGTAGCTGGGATTACAGGCATGCACCACCATTCCTGGCTAATTTTTGTATTTTTAGTCGAGACAGGGTTTCACCATGTTGACCAGGATGGTCTCAAACTCCTGGCCTCGAGTGATTCGCCCACCTTAGCCTCCCAAAGTGCTGAGATTACAGGCATGAGTCACCGCACCTAGCCACTTACATGTAAAGTTTTTTTCAATAAATATATCAGAAAATTATTTGGAGATTTGCAACAATTTGAAAAAACTCACAGATGAGCTGTACTGCCTAAGAAATACTGAAAAAATTAATGAGGCATTTTTAAAGTTAGGTATGTCATGAGTGCATAAAATATATGTAGGGTTATTCTATCATTTACTACCATAAAATATACACAAATTTTTAATAAAAAGTTAAAATTTATCAAAACTTCTGCATATAAACACAGACCATACATGGTGCCATTTGCAGTTGAGAGAAATATAAACAAATGTAAAGATGCAGTATTATATCATAACTTCATAAAATTTACAGTAGGTTCATACTGTATTACTATAAAAATTTCATAGCAACTTCCTATTACTATTGCAGTATGCTCAAATGATGAGCTCAAGTATTGTGTCTGCTTAAAATACCATGTGATGGTAATCATCTCTGTGTGAGCAGTTCACCTCTCCAGCAAATTGCATATCAAAGTAAAATTTAATCTTTCTCAGTTTTTGCATATTTCTCATGTTTAGTGCAATACTGTAAACCTTGAATAACACCATAAGACCCTTAAGAAATGCCACTAATAATGCAGGAAGTGCTCCCAAGAAGCAAAGTCATGACATTATAAGAAAAAGTTGAATTGCTTTGTATACACTGCAGATTGAGGTCTGCAGCTGAGGCTGCTCACCACTTCAAGACAAATGAATCCAGCATAAGGACCACTGTAAAAAAAAAAAAAAAAGGAAATTCATGAAGGCACTGCTGCAGCTATGCCAGCAGGCACAAACACCTTGGACTTTTTGTAAAATAATATCTTTTTATCTTGTGTTAGAAAATGCAGCTTTTATGTGGATGTGGGATTGCTATAAGAAAGGCAAACCTATGGACTCTAATATGATTTGAGAAAAAGCGAAGTCATTATATAAAAACTTAAAGCAAAAGGAAGGTGAAGGATCTAAAGCTGGATAATTTAATGCCACTAAAGGGTGGTTTGATAATTTTAGAAAGAGGTTTGGCTTAAAAAATGTCAAGATAACAGGAGAAACAGCTTCTAAAAGACAGCAGATGAGTTCCAGAAGGCAGCAGATGAGTTCCAAGATGCCATTATGAAAATCATTGAGGAAAAAGGATATCTGCCTAAACAGGTTTTTAATGCAGACAGATGTGCCTTATTCAAGAAAAGAAAATGCCAAAAGAACATTTATTAATAAGGAAGAGAAGGAAGCATCAGGATTTAAGGCAGGAAGGGAGAGGCTAACTCTAGTGTTTTTTGCAAATGCAGTCAGGTTTATGATCAGTGCTGCCCTTATCTATAAAGCTGCTAATACCTGAATCTTGAAGGGAAAACATAAACACCAGATGCCAGACTTTTGACTGTGCAACAAGAAGGCCTGGACAGTAAGAATCCTTTCTCTGAATTGGTTCTACTGATGCTTTGTCCCTGAAGTGAAAAAGTAGCATGCCAGTAAAAGATTGTCTTTTAAAACTCTTTTGATATTATACAATGCTCTGGCCACCCAGAACCCTACGAGTTCAACACTGAAGGTATCAAAGTGGTCTATTTGTCCCTAAACACAATGCCTCTAATTCAACCTCAGAGGGTCATAAGGACCTCTAAGGTTCATTACACATGATATTTTATGGAAAGAATTGTCAACTTTATGGAAGAGACCCCAAAGGGAGAATATCATGCAAGTCTGGAGGGATTACAGCATTGAAGATGCCATTGTTATAGAAAAAGCTGGAAAACCATCAAGCCTGAAATAATAAATTCCTACTGGAGAAACTGTGTCTAGATGTTGTACATAACTTCACAGGATTTACAACAGAGCCAATCATGGAAATCATGAAAGAGATTATGGATATGAAAAAAACGGTGGAGGGTGAAGGGTTTCAAGATATAGATCTTAGAAAAATTAAAGAGCTAATAGACACAATACTAAAGGAATTTATGGAAGACAACTTGATGGAGATGACTGTTTCTGATCTAGTACCAATGAGGAAGAGGACATAGAATAAGCTGCACCAAATTGACATTAGACAGTCTGGATTATTCAAGACTGCTTTTGACTTCTTTACAACAATGAACTTAGAGAACTCCCTTAGGAAGACAGTTTAGAGGAAAAAGGGAATTGTGCTATAATTAGTGGTTGATAAGAGAGGAAGAAATATATTTCTTAAAGAGACACTGAAAGATCAAACTGAAGGCAAAGAAAGAGAGTCATATCTTAGGAATAATAAAATTTGAAGACAGGCTAGTTGACAGTATTGAATTAAAGAAAATCTAAGAAGACAAAGACTAGCACAAGACCTTTGGGATTTGGCTAACAAGAAGCTGTCAAACATATCTTGGCAATATATCTTAAGATGAGTAGTTTGAATAGATTGCAATACTGAATAAACAATTTCATATGAAATAATTTCATATGGAATAAAAAGCATACCCCTATATTCTTCCCCGACACTTTTCTAAGGTAAATTT